AGGAAAGGTATCAAAAATGATTTCATCACCAGTTGAATACAACAGTAATAAATTGTATGATTACACAGTAGCGGATATATATTTAAGACCATTTGAAAAACGGTATAACTTTTTTTAAAACCGTATTAAATGATTTGAATTTTTTTTAAATTATAGGGGGTCACTTTACAAGACAATGTCTCTAATACTTTTTTAAAATTGTGCTATTACTTGGAATTAGAAAAAAAGTAACAAACTCATGTTTTTCAATTTTCTGACCTGACTCTATAACAAAAATAAAAAAAAAGCATTTTGTAGATCTCGGTAAGTTACATGTATGCTGAAAATTTCATCGATATCGGTTGACTTTGACAGGAGCTGTAAGAAATTAAAGAACGCAAAAACCGCAGTTTTGTTCCGAATTTTGACACTTTCAACCAATAAGTGTGAGAAATCTGCAATTTTTAAAATATTTTGACGCTTGTAACTTGAGTTTGCATCAACCGATTTGTATGAAATTTTTAGCATGCATATAATTTAGCAAGATCTACAAAATGCATTTCTTAAAGGCTCAGATAAAAAAGTTGAAAAATATAAGTTTTTTAATTTTTTTGTCATTCCAAGCAATCACAAAATTTAGAAAAAGTATTTGAGTTATTGTCTAGTAGATCAATATATATAATAATATATATATAATATAATAATAATATATATAATATAAATATAATAATATATATATATAAAATATTATTATATATAATATAATAATCTAGTAGAAAAATATTCAAGTCGTTTAGTCCAGTTTTAAGGAAGTTATACCGTTTAAATATATGTATATAAAAGAAATAGTCAAATTACAAAAGTTAATCATTTGCGATTCCGCACAGTGTTGATCGTAAGTCTACTAATGACACACAGCAATAAAAGAAGAAATATATCAAACATAATACCGGATAATGCAGTTTCAAGACTTGCGGGCAGACACATCATTTCGGAAGTTCTTCTTACGGATAATAAAACAAAATCATAAAAACCACAAAAATCACAAAAATCACGGTATTAAATTATTAAGGTGAGAAACTATTATTTTTTAATTGGGATTTATGTAATTCCATTAATTAAATGCAGCTATGACAAACTGTAGAGTGCACAGCGAGTGAATCCGATACTAAAACTCCGCGATTACAAAATCTCTCGGGTTGTAAGACCGATTACGCTAAGCGACGGAATTGATTAGTATCGCCGTTCGTCTAATTAAAGATGAACAGCTGTTTTAATTTTGAAGAATGAATTGAAGAATGAACTTAAGCACTATAAAGCACTCAATTCGATGGTCGAAGGTTGAAAGATTATCTGAGTAGTAGACTAGCGTGGGCTGGAGTCTACTGTAGTTGACTGAAGCTGAGTTGACTGACTAACTGAATAGAAGACTAGCGTGAGCTGGAGTCTATGTTGATGAAACAGAAAAATTGCAAACATTAATTGTTACCTTGTATACTCCTCTTCATATCAAACAACTTTTGATCAAAACATTTACTATGCAAAATGTAGTTTACAAGAAAAAATTAAGTTGAAAGAGTTAAATGACTCATCCTGTATTGATTTTTAATTTGAAATTTTAAGTCCATGGGGTACTTATGGACATTGCATATTCGTATAAATTCTTTTTAAATTTCGAATATAATTAGAAAGAGGACAGTCAGGAAAAATGTTTTTGCACTTTTTCTAGCGGAAACTATTTATGATCCACCGACATGAGACAATAATGGGCACATGAGAAATGCGGTGGAGATAGCAAATTGTTCGGCGAGTTTTGTTTGTGTTTATGTAACGAATCAGAAAGATAGTTTGTTTCGTGTTTACTTCAATCGTCCGGAATTATTATAATTATACTAACCTGCATCTGATTTTACCGCGAAACCAACGGATATTTATTTAAACAAAAAATGTTTTGTTTAAGTTTAAGTTTTTTTTAAGTTTTGCTGCTCATAGCTTTATTTCGAATAATTTTTTTCGTTATTTTTGTAAATAATTTCTAATGTTTATTACATAAATAATGTTTTTGTAAATAGTTTTGTTATTGATAAGAGAAGATTTCATAATGTTAATATTACTGGTATAATTCAGTATTTCCCTTAAGCCACAATTTTTGCACGTTTTCCTAGTGTCATTTAAAGCCTCTTGTAGATCTTTTCTCATTAATAATTTCTTAAGAGAAAATGGGTCAACATGTTGATGAGATGCCACCCCTCAGATTTTAACGGGACCTTTTTAATCACTTCCTTTTCATCTACAAGTAACAGGAGAAAAAATTTCGGTCGTATCGCAATGGCCTTGAAAAGAACGTAAAACACTGCGGAAATTTGTGTGAAAGCTACTTTTTCGTGGATTCAGACGGGTCTTTTTAATTTATCCAACTCAGGTCTGGCTCACACCTAACCCAAACACGTACTAAACCTAATTGAAACCTAATCTAAACCTAAACCAAACCTTACGAAATATCCATTTATAAAAGACAGAAGAAGTTCCTTCTTCCAGATTTTAACGGGATTTTTTTAATCATTTTCTTTCGACCTTTGGGCAAAATTAAGAAATTAGAAAAAATTTCAATGGTACCTCGATGGCCTTGAAGAAATATAAAATACCGCTGGACATTTGCGAAAAATGTGTATCCTCGTGAGTTTAGTTCTAGGTCCACAATTACGATATGGAAACAGATGTGGATATGTCATTCAAATTTCCGGAATATTTATTTTAAAGACAATTAATGTATTGTAGAAGAATTTACATATTTTTTAACGAAGTCGCCAAACAAGGAGGGTTCTAAAGCAATATCGACGTTTTCTGCATATACCGAATCGCGTAAACACAGTATGCACATACATATGTATATCTCATATAGATATGCGTTTATACCCAACTAATGAATATTTTCAATCCATTTTTTCATCGCAGTCCGACCAAATTTTGTATAGTTTTCCTGTTAAGAAATAACGTATGTGCGTACATACGTCAAACGTTTATAATTGTATCTTCATTTATTTTCATTATATTGATAGTAGTTCATTCCTATTTAGTAAATCATGTACGAAACCTTCAACGGGTTAAAATCTGAGGTAAAGCAGCACATCGACAAAATTCACTAAAAAATAAAATCTTGCATTTTAATTCAGTCAAAAAATAACATAATAACAGCAGACCAACGTCGCGTTCAGACTTAAAAAAATTAATAGCGTTTATATTTATTATATTCTGTATCAAAGTCATCGTATATTTATATTAAAATACATATAAGTCATACGATTAGAAATCTCTGATATTATAAATATGCAATTGCTATAATATTAATTGCAAGTTTCTGTATCTCATTAATTTCATCAATATATAACATACACGAATTATTTTAATAATTACACCAATATAAAAATTGTACTACATAGAGTTGAGAGCAACGCATTTAATAATTTTGATGGTACACATATAGTCCTCACGGGACAAGAAGGCATCTTTACGTTTATATTCCCCCTCTTATTAGCTGCCCCACTGCCGCAGCTAATAAAAGGTGAATCAAGGTGCCTTCTTTTCCCGTGAGAACTACACTAGCTACTTATGTATCGAAATATTTAGCATGTAAAAATAGTGGAAATTATACAAAAATTATTATTATTATATTTTTATTATTGTCATTATTAAAATTCTTATTAATCACATATTAAGACATGTACGAAGCTAAGAATTAATTTGAAAGTTTTAAAAGGTACCATTTTATTCAGAAATTATACAATATAAAGAAAAGTATGTAATTAAAAATGTGCACAAACGGTTGATGAATAATTATGTTATTTTCATTTAAAAGCATTTTTGACACACTTTGGACACGGTTTCAAGATTCAACGATACAAGGATTTCACGACTACATGGCAGACAATCGATATTGTAGTTGGACAGGTTTGGTGATTAAAATTCAATCTCTCTGTTCTGCATTTTCCCGAGCTTCAACGGAGTGTCTCTCGTAAGTGGAATGACTAATTTATTGTCCTTACTATTAATGCTAAAAGAAATAACTAGCAAACATCTACGCATCAATAGGATGTGTATCTAGTAACAATTAGAATAAAATCCCCACAAGATCATAAGCTTTTTTTTTAGATCTGCCATATTGATCGCGTGATCAGTTTGTAAAATTTTTTGTTGTGAAAATATTGTTCATCTTTGGTATGCTAGTGATTCTTGTTTCCAACTACAGTAAATCCTTCCTAAAAATATTACAGCTCGGAATCGAAAAATGGATAATTGATAATACAGACACGATTCTTCGAGCCTCCCAGCTCGCCTTTATAGTTGTCGACATCTTGTGAAAGAGAAAGAGAGAAAGAGAGAGAGAGAACGAAAATCGGGACAGTCGGCAAACTTAAAAGTCAACTGCCAGTATATCGGTGTACATTAATACAAATACATAATAATGCTAGAATAAAAACGATGCCTTAACCTTTTTATTTCTAATTTTTTGTACATGAAAGTTTTTTTAACATATTGTTCAAATTCTTCCAATTAAAATAAGATCAAATACCACATGCTTTAGATCATATTTATTAAATTACATATTGTGATTGATTTTATTTTACATAATCAGAAATATCTGTCTAATCTATATTATGTTTGGTCTCATTTTAATCAGAAAACTATCAGCAGTATGTTAAAAAAAAATTTCGTTTTAAAATGTCAAAATTAAAAAAGTTATATTATTGTATTATGAGTTGTCATTTCAGGGATTCTAATCAAAGGTGCCCCGTCGCGTACCGCATCATACGTCTGACAGACTCTGTCGAACTTTAGCATAGGCATACGAATAACGCACATAGGCACAGGAGTACCACAGGGACAATCGAAGCAAGGATTACTAGGAAGAATTTACTGTACATCGTTGCGTAAAAATTGTAGGGAAACATTGTGTAAACTATTGTAATTTATGGTCTTAGCGTAGTAGTAGTAATCGCACAGATACTTGTAATCGCACTTACCTTGTTGTTCGGGTGAGTGCCATCTTTGTCAGTAGCCTGAACTTGTGTAACTTTAGTACCGATTGGTTCGCCTTCAAGTACGGTTTCTTGCTCGCGTTCGGTGAACAGAGGTATTTCGTCGTTAACATCCTCCAGGACGATGTAGATGGTTGCTTCAGAAGCGAGTTGTTGGGCGCCATTGTTCTGGAAAACGAGATGTGCGTTTACCACCCGATTAAATTACAATCTGCAGAACTAGATAGAAACACACATTTATCGCGGAAACTATTATTTGGCGGAACATTTTCAAATGTTCAGTTCGTTGTTTTTGATTTTCCGAAATGATGACTCGTGTTTACTGCAGCTGAATAAACGACAGCCGCGGTTAATCCAAATAACTCTACTATTACACGCCACGGGAATACCTCAAACTATGAATTTCAATGGATAATTGATGTAACAAGAAGTAGCTAAAGAACAAGAATTGAGGTAACGAGGAATATCGAATACTGCAAGCTTTAAAATCTAAAATGCTTAATAATAAAAAATAAATTCATAAAATAAAAAAAATTAATAAATAAAATAATTAATTAATATTAATTTATTTAAATCCTTTTCTTTTATTATCAATTTAATATTTTGTTGCGAATAGATTTAATTCCTTTTTTGTCAATAAATTTGTCATTGTTGATCTTTCTGTTACAGTTATTTCACTATTCGTGCCCATTTTTGAATGTCCTATTGGAGTTTTCGTACTCAAGATCATGTGAAAGCCGTGGTAAATCAGAGCAATCGTCTCTTCGCTTTCACTAAGGAATGGAATTAATAGAAATTTTATTAAGTTGGAGATTTAATAAAACAAAAAAACTGAGCTTACAAATATTCATTCATATCTTTCGCTTACATTTTCATTATTCTCATATCTTTCAAAGAATTTCGTGATGCTTGCAATAATAAGGTAACTTTTACTTTCTTTCAGTGAGTATGTAAATTTCAGTAAGTTCGTAATTGATAACACCAATAGATGTAATTCATTCTTGACGCCGTTAAATTTTTGTAACAGTTTTTGTCTATTCTATTATCTCGTCTGTCATGACTTTAATATAAGGCTACGTTTCACCGCTTCTTTTAATTGTTTTATTTATACATCTAGAATGGTCTTACGGATTATAGGATTATCCTATGAGCACAATGCTTATAAAAAAAAAGGAAAATTATTTCGCTGACGGGGATATAAAATAATCTGAAGTAATTGTTCTTTTCTACAGCTGTATATATAGGGTGTCTCGCGAAAAGTGTTGTCTCCGTTAGCATTAACAATTTGTATGGTTCGAAGGGCATATGTTGTGGCGGAACTAATATTTTAGAGAGGTCGTATTTTTTTCGAAATTTCGAGATTATCCATGTTTTTTTTAAAGAGAATTACGTATTTCTGCCATTAAATCATCATAATTAAGATCAAGACGAATTCAATAATCCGTAAGACCACAATTTAGTAATGGGCACGTCTATTATATAATAGAGAGATAAACAATACAAAATTCATTGACAGAAAAATATTAAATTCATAAGAAAAGAATAAGATTTAATCAAATCTGTTTTAAATCATTCATTCATTTTTTTTTCATTTTATTTATTTATTTATTATATGTCATTGGTTTCTTATCTTCCATTGCAATAACATGCAATGTTGCAGGATGCAATAAAAAAAGATACACTTATATGCAAATCAACATCCAAAAGAATGAGCCTGACAAAAGCTACTTTTTGCATTGTATTCGTCTCCTGATACCAGTCAAATTCCATGTAAAACATTTCTTGTAACATCAATATTATAGATCTCCAGGGAGCAATGTTTAGGTGGACTGTTTAATCGGAATAATTTTCCATCATTTTATCATTTAGCGCATTGAAAATAATTTATTGTTCTGTAATAATGACGTTCAAGGTAGATATACCGTGCTCTTCAACCGGACATGTACTTGAAGTGACGAGAAATTCGTCGAAGCAACTTGAAATGGAGGGTATATTGTTCGTTGCAAGAAATATTAATGCAGAAGTGGAGAAAATTATGCATCATCGTAGGACAGTGATGTTTACTACCTCAAAAGTATAAGATACGGGCTAGAATATAAATAATACCGCAATTCATAAGCGGATTTTCAAGTTGCTACCTTCCCAGTTTCTAAAAGGATTAAAGAAGGTCGGTTATTTAATCGGGGAACAGCCACACAAAAATTTCCTGGGAAATATACCCGCCGTGAAATTCCTTAGCCGTATCCAATGTTACATTATTCGTACTTTGGAAAACAAGAAAACCCCTATTAATTCTGCTTTTATGCAATTGAAATTCTATTTTAGTAACTGTTTTTAATATCTTTGAACTTGCTGTATACAAATAGATTTATCGAACTCGAAAACTAGATATATAAATTATCATCTCACGAATTACTTACATTAATCTATACAGGGTGTCCCCTCGTTAATAAGTGCCTTTTACAATAACTAGGATTGATTTTACGTTAAAATCGTCGAATGTATTTTTTATGATTTTTTATGTAGAATACGTTAATGCAAGACAACCAATGTTTTTACTAAATTTTCAAGATCATTGAAGTATTGGAATTAGTTTACAAAATATGTTCCTTTCCTCCTTCAACTCCTAAACATTGGTGGAGTCACGTTGAAAACTATATTTTCACAGCAATAGCAATTGTTTCCAAGAAAACTACATCAATATTTAGCGATCGAAGGAAGAAATTTTGAACGCATTTTGTAAACTCAACGTTAGCTCATCATTATTTGAGCCGTTTATTTTGAAAGTGGCATAAGTCACTTTGTTTTTAAATCGATATATTTAAGGGTTTGCGTTTTAACACGTTTAAAAATATGGATGCTAACTTTCGAGAAGATTTACTTGTATTTGTTATTTCAGGATACTGATATTTTTCTCAGTATAAATAATTTCGTATAAACATTAAAAAATCACCATTTTTCATTACGATAAAGTGACTCTTATGCCACTTTCAAAATAAACGGCTCATTTGTTGCATTCACCAGTTAGCTATGTTTGACGAGTATACTCGTCATGAAGAACTGGCAGAATTTTGTGTCATGACGAGTATACTTGTCGTGCGTAAAAAGTAGTGACCATTAGCTATTTAAATTGTAATTTTAGTGAAAACAAAAACATATTCTCAAATTTCAAGATGTTTGGAATATTTTGAGGCCGACCCTACGCGGAGGTGTTTACATTGTTATAAAAATAAGATTAGAAAAGAATCACGATATTGGTGTTTGACGTGCAAAATGTCTTTATGTATCGTTCCTTGCTTTGCTGAATACTACTTTACAGCAACAATTTGAATTTTTAACTTTTATAAGTATTTCATTTTTTCTGCATTTTTCGATTATTATGTATATAGTGTATGTTAATATTAAGTGAATAAGTAAATATTGATAATAAAATTATTAATTTTATGAAGTAGAACTTTTTTGATCTAATATTTTAACAGCGACACTTACTCTGTATTTGACGAGTATGCTCGTCTTTGAAAGTTGCTTCAAAGTTACTTATAAGTAGTATTTCGAATTCGCTTCTTATGCTATTTCATTGTAACGAAACAAAAACACAGCATTCCATTAAAAAAAGAGTTAAAATAATCTTCTAATGACCTTGGAAAGTTTAGTAACGAATTTGTTGTCTTGCGTCAACATATTCTACGTAAAAAGCCACAAAAAAATACATGTGACGATTTTTTCACAAAGTCAACTGTTTATCAGTTATTGAAAACTGCATTTGCTGATGGACACCCTGTATATGTACTACCATGTAGTTAATCATGCATTCTTTGTTAACCGTAAAATTTTGAACGTAATCCAAACTCTTGTAATCTCTTTAAAAGTTTAAAGTGGCGGCCATATATATACTTAAGACTGCTTGAAGAACGGTATAACATCTTTAAAACTGGACTAAATGACTTGAATTTTTTTAGGCGAATTAACCTATTAGATGAATTAACCTATTAGATAACGATTAAAATACTTTCTTTTCAAATTTTGCTATTACTTGGCGTGACAAGAAAAATAAGAAGCTCTTGTTCATTAACTTTCTTATTCAAATCTATAACGAAAATTTAAAAAATGCGCTTTGTAGATCTCTATAACTTAAAGATATGCTGATAATTGCATCAAAATCGGATTACCTTGATATGAGCTGTAAACAATTAAATATCGCACTTTTGTTTTTATTTTCACACGTTCTACTAATAACTGTCAGAATCCTGCAGTTTTTTGAACCTTTAAATCGATTTCGAAAAAATTTTCAGCATGTATATAAAGTACAGAGATCTATGAAACGCATTTTTTTAAATTTTGGTTGAAGTCCCGGATAAAAAAGTTGAAAAATACGAGTTTTTTAATTTATTTTTTATTCCAAGTAATAATAAAATTTTTAAAAAAGTATTTTAGTCATTGTCTAATAACCTAGTCCTTCCGTCATCCAAAAAAAGTTGAAGTCATTTAGTTGAGTTTTAAAAAAGTTACACCGTTTTCCAAGTGGTATATATGGCCGCCACTGTATGTAGGGTGATCTGTCCAGTGAATAAACACAGATTACAATCGTACGTAGAACTCATTCATACTGCAATACGTGTATTGTGATATTTGTATGACGGATGCTGATGTTACATCGTTCACTATGGAAACGTTCGAACAACAATTTCTGTATCGCTTTACTGATTTCGCGAACCTCACGAAATTCGGTCGCTTCGGTACTTTACAAGTAAAATTGGTACACAAAACATTGATACAAATGTACTTGTAAACGCGTATTGTAGATAATATATTATTGAGCATTCAGACAACGAGAGTTTGTTGAACAAGATGGGCATTTTTGATAAAGAAAAATGTTGCAATACATGAACCGTTTATTTTGAAAAAGTGGCCTAAGTCCATTTATACTTAAATTGAGATATTTAAGGGTTTGTGTTTCAATGCAATTAAAAATATACGTACAGGATACTAATGGGTCATACTGCTTAAGTGTATCTAAAGGAGTTAAATTTATAGTTCCTATCAAAATAATGGCAATTATTAAGTAAATAATATGCGTTTTCTTACCAAAAATGGAGTTAGGCCACTTTCAAAATTAACAACCAGATTCGTTATAAAATTTGAAGGAGCCCAAGTCCATTCAACATAAT